ACATATTTAAACCCCATGTTCCCCAAAGACCTCCAGAGTCCCCAAGATGCCTCCATCTGTGGTACACGACGGAGGGGGAAGTTCTCAACTATTTTGGCATTTCCCAAAGTGGCTTTCATAGCCCTCTAAATTCATAAGGTGCTGGGACAATCGGAAAGGACACATCAAACAGGCCTGGCTGCCGGCACAGATGGAGCCACTGCCTCTTAGAACTTCACAGACGCACAAGAAAGGCCCCGAGAAACCCTGCAGAGAAGAACCCCGTCAGATGTTTAAGTTGGTGTTCCCCAAATTTATTTGACCGTGAACGCCCTTTTCTGCCCAATATCAATTTAACATCCTCCTGTAAAGACACTGATGATCAAGGTCATCTCCAGCTCACAGTTTCTGCCTCACAGGAAAGACAGAAGGTTTTCTAAAAAACCCTCCTCTCTGCCTTTGAAAAGGCCCCTCCAGTTTCTCAGGCACTTTCACGCTCGCCCAGCCCGTGCGATGTGCTCCTGGCCCTGCTCCAGAGTCAGGGAAGATGGGAGCAGGAAGGACCGCTCAGGGACAGCCCGTGAGGACTGGCCCAGCTCCCTTCCACCCCCTGCAGCTGCCTCCGGCTCCCACAGACCAGACGGAACACCCAGAACATTGTCAGGACAGAAGGCACCGTTTTCCAGGGGCCTTCTAGAAAAAAGAGTCGCCAGAAAGAAGCCTTTGTGGGTAGAGCCAGCCCAGCCTCAGGCAAAGGCAGTGTGTGCCGCCCGGGAGTCTCCGGGTACCTGCAGGGAAAGCCCAATGGCTACCAGGCCCCATTAGCAGGCCCAGTGCTACTTGCAAATAGTCTCTCCCGTCTCCCTAGAAAGGTTTCAGCAATTCAACATTTGGCAACAAAAGTACATCTCCCAGACGGCTGCGTGATCACGGGACAAGTGCCAGAGTTTGTCTCTGGGCTGTGTGGAGTTTGGAAAGTGAGCTTGATCAGCTGGTCAGTGCAGGAGGATGACATTTATCGAGCACCTACTACACATCATGCATTGTGTCAGAAGCTACTTCGTTCTGAGGAGATCTCAATTCTGATAGCAACCCCATTTTACAGATGGGGAAACTGAGGCTCTCCGCGGTGCATTAGTACGCCCAGGAACGCAGCAGAGCTGAGAGTCAAACCCAAGCCTGGCTTTGCCTCCCCAGTCCCAGGGCTCCCCACTCCACTGCGCCCTCAGGGGCAGCCTGGCGGAGATTAGCTGGTGCCCCAAGACCACTCCACACACGGGCCCCAGGCCCCTTCTCATCTCTAATTGGGCTCTCAGGGCACGGGGTGTGAAGACGGGATTCATGGGAGGCTAACGCAGTTTGGCCCCGAATGGTCTGGCCCAGGATGTAGGTGAAGAAACTGGCATTTGGGTTTGTCTCCATGTCCTGGAGAATCTGGCTGTTTCAGACCCATAATCTGATCATTCTTGGGGGAGGTAAGGGGGGCAGGTAGATAAATCAGCTTTCTGAGCCTGCTGAGCTGAAGGCCAGCCCACCAGCTGGAGGTCACCTTGCACTGTGAAGCCTGAAATCCCAGCCTGAGCCCACACCCGGCTGGGCCGCCTCTCTGTGTCATCCCTGCCCTCCTGGCCGCAGCCTCCTCCGCCCCTGCTCCACGCGACCACCGCCTCGCCGGTCCTGGCCCTCAGCCTGGGCTAGGGGTTAGGACTGGGCCCATCACTTTGGAAAGACCTTTGGAAACCCCTTCCCATCTTCTGGCTCCAAAGGATTCCTGGCTCAGCAGCATGGCTGTGAGCTGGGTAGCAGGTCAAGGAAGGGGCCAGGGCTCCACCCACCCCTCTTCCCGGGGTGCCCTCACTTGCTTTGTCTGCACAGCTGAAGGGAAGGAGGGCCCCACCTTGAGCTTCCAGCCCCTGAAACATCCACCTAGCAGCACCCTTCTTCCTGCCCATCACAGAAAGTGGCCACGGGAGAGGCCGGTCCGACCCCCACCGTCCCAGAGACCTCTCCCTCTGCTCCAGCGCATCCTTGAGCCATCTGACAGGCTGCTTCCTCTGCGTCCGGCTGGGCAGCCAGGTGACAGGGAAGACAGTGACTTGCCCGTGGCCATGCACCTAAGCAGGGATGGGCATCACTCCCAGGTCTGGCTGACTCCGGGTTTTGGGGGGTCCTTTCTCCCAGTACAGTGCAGTGGTCAGAGGTGTGGGCTCCGAAGAGAGACTGAAAAACTCAAGTCCTGGCTCCTCAAATTCCATGCTGGGCCACTGGGGGCTGTAAATCCGCTTCTCTGTGCCTTAGTTTTGTCACCTATACAATGCTGCCGGAGACGTCCTGAGTCCAAACCCTGTGCTAGTTGTGTGACCTTGGCTGAGTGACTTGCCCTGTCTGTCCTCAGTTTACTCCCATTTAAAACAGAGCTTGCCCAGCCAGTGTGGCTCAGTGGTTGAGCATCAACCCAGGCACCAAGAGGTCACTGGTTCGATTCCAGGTCAGGGCACATGCCCAGGTTGTAGGCCAAATCCCCAGTGGGGGGATTTGCAGGAGGAGTCCAATCAATGTTCTCTCTCGTTGATGTTTCTCTCTCTCCTCCCTTCCTCTCTCTCTAAAATCAATAAAGAGAAAAATTTAAAACAGAGAGCTTGATACACACACAGCAAGGGTTGGTAGAGGACTCAAAGAGACAGCAGCGTGCCGGGGGCTGTCTGGAAGGTGGCGCCCGACAGGCCCTCAGAGCAGCTGAGTGTTCCCTGGGTTGTGGTCAAGGTGCTGCCATCCACACTCGCTCAGGAAGGATGCACAACAAACAGGTCCCAGAGGGCATCTCTGGGGAGGAAAAGTAGGTGGCAGGGGACTGAACTTGTCCCCATATGTTATTTTGAACCGCTAGAATTTTGTATGACATACGTGTAATGCTACCATTACTGGTTGATTATGTAACATGTACACAGTTGCTCTCCTGCCCTGACACATGGTCTCATGCTGGCCAGAGATCCCCGTTTCTTGGTTGTCCCTGCTCCCAGCACGGCCCGCCTGTCTGTGGCCACACCCTTGTCCTGGCCCTGCCTGTTAGCCCTCTCCCTGTCTCCCAGTAACGTCCAGTGCGGCCGAACGGTCCATGACGCTTCTCCTTCCAAGCATAAGCCTGTTCCTCACCAGGCGACATGGGCTGATGGCTGCTCCTCCACCATCTCACCTGTAAATGAGATGAGGGTGCCTTCCCCCAGAGTTACAATAAGAACTAAGATGTACCAATTCATGGAAAGTTCTAGATACAGTTTCCAGCTCAGAGTCTCCCTCCTTCTTCCTGTCCTTTGAAAGAACAAATGAGGTCACAGGAGAGCTGCCCACTTCTTGGAGCTCATCTCTAGCCCCCGAGCCCCTCCCACGCTGCCCTGGACCTCAAACCTCCTCAGCCAAGGCCTGCCCCTGGGCCTTTGCATCTGCTGTTCCCTCCTCCTGTCGGGTCCTTCCCTGGTCTCCTCGAGGTCCTTCTTCCCATTACGCAGTTTCTCACAAGTGTTGCCTCCTCGGAGAGGCCCTCCCAGACCACCCTGTCTAGAACGGCCCACACCCTCTTCGCTGTATCTCTTGCCCATTTATTTTCTTCGTGGTTTATACCATTACCTGAAAATGAATTTTTAAAAATATACTATTTTGGGGGAATAATTTTAGATTCACAGAAAAGTTGCAAAGAAAGTACAGAGGATTCCCATATATGCTTCCCCCCGTTTTCCTAATGCCCAGGACCTAACTGTGGTGATTTTGTCAGAACTAAGAAATTAACGCTGGTGAATTACCATGAACTAAACTGCAGATGTTCTTCAGGTGAAAGTGTATTTTTCCTTTATTTATTTACTTGTTTTCAGCTGCTTCCCTCACTGGAAGGAAAACTCTGAAAAGCCCGAGTTTCCCTCCCTTACTCACTCCCAGCTCCCTCCTACCTGGCAGTAACTATTGATGGGTAAAAGGAAGGGAAATAACGGCAAAAAAGCCAATGACCTCTGAGGACTCCCTCCATCAGGTACCGTTATGTGTGCATTAAACATTGTAAATCATTTACTCCTCAGGACAACCCATGAGGTAGCTCCTAATTAGGGGGAAACTGAGTCACGGCAGTTTGGTAGCTGGCCAAGGCCATACAGAGGGTCTGCCAGAGTGGATGGGCTCTCGCACCCTCCTGGGGTACAGAACAACGCCGGGCCGTCCACTGCTGAGCCCCGTCAGAGCAGGAGGGTCTGAGCACGGCCCTGGCCAGGACGCTGAGGCCCCTGGGCTGCTGATTTGCCTGCAGCCACGAGATGAGACCGGGCACAGGGCTGGGATGGAACCTGAGCTTCCTGCCTCCAGATGGCTGCCCTGGCTCTGCCCAAAGGGCGTGGGGCCTCTCCCAGGGCCACCAACTCCACCCTGCTTCAGGAAAACAGGGCAGCTGGCTCAGGCACAGCCCGGGGCTCACTCCTGTGCCCCTGGCCCCCCAGGGCCCTGCACGCACAGACCCCCACTGTCTCCCTCTGCCTGTGGCCTGGGCCTCCAGGATCTAGCTACGGGGGGAGGCAGGGATGCTCTCTCCAGGCCAGAGGATGCAGCCTTCTCAGGGAACCCTGCTGGCTCTGGGGTGGGAGAAGAAATGGTCGTTCTTTCTGGATGTGCGGTGGGAGCAGCATGGAGAATTACTGCTGTCTTCTCTCAGCACCCCGGGACCAGCTGGAGAGATGTCTCAGCACCTCCCAAAGGGAAAAGCCGCTCTTGAGCAGTCGGATAGGGCTGAGGCCAGCCACCTCTGTCTGGCCTGGGCTCTGCCCAGCGCCAGCCTGGAGCAGACTGGAGGCCCTAACAATGTTTGCTGGGTGCCCAGAATCTCCTTGAGGCTTCAGCCAGGCATGCCTGCCCCATCCCCCAGCCTGGGTAGCAGAATAAGCATGGGGGGGAGGTGACAGGGGACACCGTGAGGTGGTGGCAGCATCCGTGAGAGAGGCAGGCTGCTCAACCCAGAGCTGGGGGTAGGGGCGCCTTGTGTGCGGCTAATTAAACAGTGACTGTGATGAATCGGGAGAGGCTGCTGCTTGCTAATTAAAGATGCGGGCGTCTTGCCTGGCAAGTACGGAGGCAGGAGCAGCCCTGGAACCATGTCGAGGGGCCAGTGCCTGGCGAAAGCCCCCCATCATGCTGGCTCTGGGTGTGCCTTCCACCCTCAGGCCCTCCCAGCAGGGTGCCCTGGCCCCCTCCCCACTTCCCTATCTCTCCTACCCACCTTGCCAGAGCCTGAGGCCTCGGACTTCCCCCTCCCCACCAACCCAAATTGCTTTCCTGATAAGGGCCTGGTGTTGAGGAGGAGGGGCTGGTCCGTGCCCAGCGTCTGGGCTGGAGGGTGGGTTCATTTAGAGCCTTCGAGGTACCCTCTCCCACTCCCACTTCCAAGACCCCAAATTGGACAATGAGTCCAACCAAGATGGAGGCCAGCCGTGGGAATGAGGCCCCAAGACAACTTTTAGGACCGTAGATTCTGAGACTGTTGGGCACTCTGGGCACTGCCCAGTTTCCGGCTGTAACAACGCCTGGCCCTGAGCCCTGCCGTGTGAGGGAGACCGAGACCTCGCCGGCCCTTCTGGCCTCAGAACTCCCGTCTGGAGAAGGGAAGATTAGGACGAATGCTCCCTGTAGAGTGGACAGAAAGACCCCAGTGCCATCCGTCCTTGCCCTGAATCAGCTCAAAGGCTCAGTGGCTTAGAGCAAGGGCTCAAGGGGCCAGACATCTGGTACAAGTCCCGGCTGCACCCTTTGCCAGCTGTGGGACCTCAGCATAGCAGCTAATTGCTTTGTGCCTTGGTTTCCCCATCTGCAAAGCTGGGGACTATAATTCTGCCTGCTCAGAGGGTCACTGAGGGGATCAAGAGAGAGAGGTCAGTACAGTGTCTGGTCCATAGAAAGAGCGAGGAAATGTCGGCCATTGTCATTGGACAACTTGGGACACTCAGGCAGGCATGGCCCTCCACCCGCCTCTCCTCCAAGTGACATCCTGGCTACAAGTCCAGCCCTCTGACCCAGCACGGGAGAGCATGTCACCTTTCATGCAGGGCTCTCACATCCTCCCTGATGCCGGCAACCTTCTGCGGGGAGTAGAATAACAAAGACGAAAACAAAGTGGATGCTCATCCTCGGAGAGGTGAAATGACTGGCCCACAGTCATACAGCTGAATAAGGGACAAAGGCAGCCCTGGGACTCTTGAGAGGGAGGGGAGGGTTTGGCGGTTTCCATGGTGACATTTGTTGACCTTCTACTGGACTCCAAGTCCTGAACCAGCCACCATTCAGGGAACTGAGGAGAATGTGAGACTCACCCTGCCTTCGAGGGACCCTAGTGCAGGAGAGAGAATACACGCGGAATTCAGCAGGTGTCTCCAGCAAGGCAACCTCCGAGCAAGGGGCTGAGCCACGCTTTTGTCTTGGAGCTCGATTTTTGAAACAAAGTTTCTGCTTCTATTTAGAGGGCAAAATCAGCCTTGGGGGAGCCTGGAAGAGGCTGGAAGAGCCCTTCATAAAGGGGGCCAGATACTCTGCTCTGGTAAGTGCCAGATGGTTCCTGTCGTCCCTGGTGCCTGTGTCTGTGATTCTGGGGTCTGTCACTCGAGGTACCCAGGGATCAGGGATGCTGTGGTTTCAGAGACTACATGGTCCGGGACGCCCAGCAAGGATTCATCCATATCTGCAATGGGTTGTGATGTATCCTTTCCAGGACACCAGGAACCCACCAGGGTGGGGACTTCCTACTGCTGGATACTGGGGAAGAATGCAGTTTCTGTAAGAGGCCCAGAGACCGTGGAAACCTTTTGAGGCTGAAAAACTCGAGGCTGTTGGCCCTGATGCTGGGATGCCTTGCCTTAGGCAGCCAAACCAAAGCAGGCGGGGGTGAGTGCAAGGTCGATGGCATTGAGGACAATATCTCTGTCCTCCCTCCTTAGCGATCAGGGCTCAGCCAGAGGGTCTGGGCAGGTCTAGTCACAAAGAAGCCCATGCTAGCCAAACTAGTGGCTCCTGGAAAACACACCCTGCCTTCCAGCCTCCCCAGGGACCCTGAACGTGGGCCAGGCCAAATGCTGGTCTGGGGCGCCCTCTGGTGGTCACAACAGGCAGAGGTAGAAGTAGCTGTGGGTTTAAGGGTGGGTGGTCAGAACGAGAGGACTTCAAAATGTACCACCCCCCTCATTGCACAGTTGGGAAAAACCAAGGCCCAAGGTCATATGGCAAGTCAATGGCCAAGCCCAGACCAGAACCCAGACCTCCCTCTGTACCAGTGGCTGCTCTTGGTGGGTCTCAAGGCATCCCCACCAGGGGAGGCAAGACTGAGTGTCCAAGAGACTCACTCCCCGGTGACTGTGGACAGCAAGACGGTAGGCAGCTGAGAAACTGTATGATGAGGCCTGCAGCACTTCCTCTCTCTGGCCCTGGGTTTCTCACCTCTAAAACTTGAGGCTACCGTGTTGCAAGGGGTGAGGGGACTGGGGTCCTTCTCATATGCAACTGGTAGCGAGGCTGTAACCCAGCCAATCTTTCAGAAAATACAAAAACAAGCCTTCCTGCCCTAGCCGGCTTGGCACAGCAGTTAGAGCATCCCCAGTCAAGGGCAGGTACCTGGGTTTCAGGTTAGATCCCCAGTCCTGATCCCTGGGCAGGGCATTGTGGGAGGCAACCAATCAATGTGTCTTTCTCTCTCCCTCCCTTCCACTCTATCTAAAAATCAGTGGGAAAATATCCTCGGGCCAGGATTAACAATAACGAAACAAAACAAAATAAACAAACAACAACAACAACAAAACAAGCCTTCCTACAGTAGTACCATGTTTAATGATGAAAGACTGGATGCTCTCCCCCTGAGATCAGGAACAAGACAAGGATATCTGCCCTTCACCACTTCTATTCAACAGAGCACTAGAGATTCCAGCCAGAGCACTCAGGCAAGGAAAAAGGGCATCCATATTGCAAAGGAAGGAGAAATCCTAAATATATATTAAATGAGTTCAGCAAGGTTGCAAGATACAAGAAGAATACACAACAGTCAATTGTATCTCTACCCACTTGCAATGAACACTTCAAAATGTAATTAATAAAATAATTCCAGCCCTGGCCGGTTTGGCTCAGCGGTTAGAGCGTCGGCCTGCGGTCCTGAGAGACCCGGGTTCGGTTCCCGCTAAGGGCGCGTACCTCGGTTGCAGTTTGTCCCCGGCCCTGCTTGGGTTGTGTGGGTGGCAGCCACTCGATGTGTCCCTTTCACATCGATGTTTCTCTCTCTGTCTCTGTTCCTCTCTCTCCCTCCCACTCTACCTGAACAAAAAATGGAAAAATGTCATCGGGTGAGGATAAAAAAAAAAAAAAAAAAAAAAAAAAAAAAAAAAAAAAAAAAAAAAAAATAAAATAATTCCATTTACACAAGCATCAAAAAAAATGCTTAGGGATAACTTTAATAAAAAAGTATAAAACTTGCACTCTGAAAACTACAAAATATTGTTGAAAAAAATTAAAGAAAACCTAAAAAAGTAGAAAAACATCCCATGTTCATGGTCCAAAGACCTAATATTGCTAAGATAACAAGACTCCCTAAATTGATGTTCAGATTCAACCCAAGCCCTATCAAAATTCCAACCTGCTTCTTTGTAGAAATTGACAAGCTGATCATAAAATTCTTATAGAAATTCAAGTGACTCCCGATAGCCAAAACGATATTGAAAAAAAGAAGAACAATGTTGAAAGACACACATTTCTGGTTTCAAAACATTCTACAAAGCTACAGTAATCAGACCAGTGTAGTCCTGACATACAAATAGACCTATAAATTAAGGGAATAAAATTGAGAGTCCAAAAATAAACCTTCAGATTTACAGGCAATGATTTTCAAAAACAGTGCCAAAACAATCCGACAGGGAAGAACAGTCTTTTCAACAAATGGTACAGGGGCAACTGGTTGTGCACATGCAAAAGAATGGAAATTGGACTCCTTCCTCACACCTTACACAAAAATTAACTCCAAATAAATGATAGAACTAAATGTAACAGTTAAAACCATAGCCTGGCCCGTGTGGCTCGGTGATTGGGCATTGACCCATGCACCAGGAGGTCGCCGGTTCGATTCCCAGTCAGGGCACATGCCCAGGTTGTGGGCATGGTCCCAGTGGGTGACAGGCAGGAGGCAGCCAATCGATGTTCTCTCTCATCAATGTTTCTTTCTCTCTCTCTCTCTCTCTCCTTCCCTCTCTCTTTAAAAATCAATAAAGAGCGCTGGCCAATTTGGCTCAGCAGTTAGAGCGTCAGCCTGTGGTCCAGAGAGACCTGGGTTCGGTTCCCGCTAAGGGCACGTGCCTCGGTTGCAGTTTGTCCCCGGCCCTGATTGGTCGTGCAGGTGACAACCACTCGATGTGTCCCTTTCACATCGATGTTTCTCTCTCTCTCTCCCTCCCACTCTATCTGAACAAAAAAAAATATGGAAAAAATGTCCTCGGGTGAGGATTAAAAATAATAATAATAATAATAATAATAAATCAATAAAGAAAAAATAAAAAACCATAAAACTGAAATGACCTAAGAGTAGGCATTAAAATTTGTTCTTTAAATATGACACCAAAAGCACAGCAATGAAAGAAAGATAAATTAGACATTATCAAAATGAAAAATGTGCTGCAAAGGACATCGTTAAGAAAAGGATAACCCATAGAATGGGAGAAAATATTTACAAATTATATATCTGATAAGGAATTTTAACCAGAATATATAAAGAATTATCATAGCCCTGGCTAGTTTGGCTCAGCGGTTGGAGCGTTGGCCTGTGGTCCAGAGAGACCGGGGTTCGGTTCCTGCTAAGGGCACGTACCTGGGTTGCAGTTTGTCCATGGCCCTGGTTGGGTCATACGGGAGGCAGCCACTCGATGTGTCCCTTTCACGTCGATGTTTCTCTCTCTCTCTCCCTCCCACTCTCTCTGAACAAAAAAAGAAAAAGAAAAAATGTCCTCGGTGAGGAAATAAATAAATAAATAAATTTTAAAAAACGTATTTTTAAAAATTAAAACAAAAAGAATCAATCAATAAATATATCAATAAGTGTAACAACAACTTGATGTTTCTCTCTCTCCCTTGCTCTCTCTCACTCTAAAAATCAATTAAGCCCTGGCCGGTTTGGCTCAGCGGTTAGAGCGTCGGCCTGCGGTACAGAGAGACCCGGGTTCGGTTCCGGCTAAGGGCATGTACCTCGGTTGCAGTTTGTCCCCGGCCCTGGTTGGTCGTGCGGGTGGCAGCCACTCGATGTGACCCTTCACATCGATGTTTCTCTCTCTCTCTCTCTTCCTCTCTCTCCCTCCCGCTCTATCTGAACAAAAAATGGAAAAATGTCCTC